GTGCTTTTTAAAACTATTCGGAGTTTTAAATCTTGACCTGCCATTACACCAACTGCCACAAATTAGATTCACTTTTCCGCCGGAAAAAATACTGAAGTTGGGATTTGAATCATTATTTCAACTGCATATTGTGTACAGTGTACACACTACACAGGTTATCAATTCAGTTTAAAAAAAGTTACCCATTTATATTAGTATCTAAGTTATCTATAGATGTGTATACAAGATCGTCAAGATCTACAGTATAGGCTATAATAAAAATACAATATATTACAATGTGCTACGAGGTATTCTACATAATATCTGGAAACTGCTTATATAGTTTGTAATGATTACATATCTATTAAAATATTGTTAAATAAATAAATAATAATTAGGTATTATATTTTGAAAAATATATTGTACTTGATATTGTTATATCAATATATCATTAACAATGTTAGACATTCAAATGCAATCAATATTTAATAAATAAGACTCAGGTTTATTAATCAGTATGTATAAAAAGTGCATTAGTCATTACTCATTAGTAGTGAATCATTCGAGAATTAATAGTTAATAAATTAATAACAACAATATTGGAATTAAAAATAATAAAAATATTTATAAATTTGTATTGCATACCTAAATGGCTACGTTGCTTGTTTTAAATACAACATGTAACGCACACTATCTAAAATAGTATGATTAATACCCAATTATAGGTTTAGTTTTAAATTTATGCAATTTGCAATCGTATAATTTATCATAATTTCCTTCTTTATACATGAGTTGATAGCATGAACCTTTTTAGATATACATCGACRTACTATTATTTATAATTTATAATTACTACTTATAAGTTTTATCAATTGTCTGTTAACTGTGATAGAATTTAAATTTGAATATAAATGATTCAAATGCCATATTATATATTCTTAGGGGAAGTATAAAATGGAATATATACAGCAACAGTATTTTTTAATATTGTTTATTTTTATATAATAATAAATGTAAATATGTTACCAATACACAATACTAAAAAATTATTACTAAATGTTGATACTTTTAACTTTAATCCAATATTTACTACGTTTATATGATGGCGTTAAAACGTAGTAATTGATTCAGTAAATTTTAGTGTATCACGCAGAATATTGGTGTATTGGACATATCAATAAACCCTCATCTTATGAATAACAACATCCTATTTTTATTTGTTTCACTTTTATTGGATTTTTATCGCTTTATAATAACTCTCAATTATTGATTTGTTTACTGATAAATATTTGAGTACATTATATCAAAGTTTAATTGGTCCAATTAATATAATAAATAAATTATATAAAACTAAAATTGTAATATTGCTTGTAATTTAAACATTTATAAACTATATAATACTAACTACAATATTGCAAAATATCCAAATTTATCCGTTTTACGTAAATTAGTAGATTACACTTTACTTTCTAATAAAATTAACTCAAATATCAAACTATTTAATTATAAAAATATACCTAATATATAATTATTTTATATATAAAATATATACTATAATACTATATAATATATAAATTACGTTAGTAGTAATAATATCACAAAATATACTACACTATTTTCTAAAAATTTAGAAAATCGTTTTTAAAAATTTACTAATTAGTAATTACTAATTACTTATAGTAAAATAAATTACATTAATAGTAATAATATCACAAATTATACTGCATACCCATTAGTCAAACCCCTGCGTTGAGTTTTTAATTTTTGTTGATATATTTATAYATAATATATATTAATTACAATATATATAATATTAACAAAGCTCGCCAAGCTCAGCTCATGGATCGACGCGCAATATAATACATACACGGACATACGTCCTACAATAAACGCAAAATGTAATAATTTTCAACCTGGAAATTTCACGAGACACCAGGGTATAATATTATGTATAGGTATCTTAACGTTTAAATTATCGACAAGACAAGTGTATGTGACTATAATGATTTTATCGGATTATTATTTATTAGATTTTGTTATATCGTACCTATGCGGAAATAAGCTGTGGTTTTATACTAKCATACTACATTGAAAAACATCTCCTCATTTTCCACCATTTGTCTGGAATGTAAGAGACGCAACATTAAACAACGGAGATCGGACTAACAATGTATGAGGGATGGAATAATCGGTTTTTCATTTTAGTAAGAACCTGATTATTTATTATTAAGTATTAAAATTCAATTAAAATATTCAATATAATTTTTTTTAATATTAATTAAGGTGAATCACAAACACCCAACAATTTGGACATTGATTACTAAGATGCGGCATTTTTATGCCGCAGATGAMACCAAAGTCGCACAGCGTCAGCTGGGTATACTAATATACTATTGCACCACCATAGAAAAATTTGAGTTAATTTTTTTAGACAATTCTATATGAATATATTGATTTTACAGTGATGTGAGTGTTTTTTTTWAAAAACATTTTTCTAAATTATTAAAAAATAGTGTAGGTAGTCATTTTTTTAACAAATTATTCCTGTATTTATAAAAACAAGTTGATTTACATTTTATTTTATATTATTTAACTATTGACCAATGTGTGTGCAGTATATTTTGTGATATTATTACTACTAACTTAATTTATACATTTAGGAGTTAATTTTATTAGAAAGTAAAGTGTAATCTAATAATTTACGTAAAAACGGATAAATTAGGAAATTTTGCCTGTGGATATTTTGGTTTGAATATTACGTCCTTGGATGTTTTGACCGATTACCGTTTTATATTCAGGTAATAGAATCGTAAGGATATATATTTAAGATAGGTAGGTACTAGCATTAATTATATTATAATAATAATTTATCCTATAATTAATGGTACTAGGTTCACTCTATTGATGTGATAAATTTGTTTTCAATGATAAATAATTGAATACAAAATATGATTTCTGAGCAGTGTCATTACATATATTATATAATGATTTTTATTATAGGTAGGTACCATGATATGTTTTATTTGTATTAACTTAAAAACGAATACCTATACCAACGTACCTAACGACGTTGTAAATAGGTTTGTGGTATAAATAGCTTTGAATTAGTCTGAATTATTGTGATCTAAATAAATAAAATTTTATATAGGTAATTGCGAGCCTAATTTCGAAAAGTCCTATGATTGGTATTTTAGATTTTGAGTT